CGACGACCTAATGGTCCACCTGAGGCCGAATCATTAAAATCCAAGCTGGCTTCTGCCTCGGTCGTGGCTGTATTAACCACACAGATACTTTTCGTCAAGTGCTGGAGCAGATACTTACAGACGACAGACTATAGTAATCTTCCTCGATCACAAAACCGCCTTCGACTCAGTTAATCGGATCAGCTTGCGGTACTGTCCCTTGTGGTGGGCATGTCAGGGAAAGCTCCTTCCATTCTGAAGTCTACAGCGACTATCGAGGTCAGCTAAGGTTCTATCTGGAGTTGTCTTCTGTGCTCCTCACGACAAGTGGGTGATGTCCCATACGTTCCCTCCTCCTCAACAGTGTAATCGAAATGATCCTGAATGACTCTGTCATCTCATTCCCTTCGAAAAGATGTCTCCAGGTGACAAGCTGACAAACCATGAGCATACAGACGATATGGATCTTCTTGAATTTCCTGCAGTGGCTAGGTAAGCGCTACTGAATAGACTGATGTACAATTCTGCACGCTTCGGTGTGCGCTTTACGCCCTAAAAGTGTAAAGTACTGTTACAGAGCTAAGCCGACATAACATCGTTTCTTGCTATCAGCGGAAAACTAACGGAAGTAATCGACCAGTTCCACTTATTTTGGAAGTTGTATCACCTCTGGTGGTCACATCACTGAGGTTAGTTCGCGCAGCAGCAAGGACCGTGTGGCTTTCCAGAGATTCAACCATCTATGGAGACGGTGGTAAATCAAACGGTTAGTCGAAAGTAGAATGAACGATGTGATGTATGGGTCGCGACGTAATAAGACTGAGGCTTAACATGATGTGACTGCATACCTCTTCGAATCAATGAGCTATACTGGGTGAGGTACTCGGCCTCCTTGAGAGCTAGTCCCAACAGGTTGGTCAGACGAACTCAGTCTCCTGGCCCTGCAAATTAGAGGTTGGAAATGGGATGGCGACCATTTCTGTAAAACCGGATACTGGCCATCTCCCCGCTGCCTTGCGGACAGCTTTTTTGAGACAACGGTTTTGGTTGAGGACCCTAATCGTTCTCCGTTTAGGTTTGGACACCATAACAGTATCTCAATCCAACTACAAGCATGACTCTTTCATCGAACTTCAGCCACATCATGCATTGGCCGTAACGCAGCTTTACAATACTCGCCTTAAGTGCTGCATACAGCAGAGCGCGGAGGCGAAAACATGCTACTCCAGGTGTCTGGTTGTTCTACTCTTACTCCGATCTCGATTACTATCTTTTCTTCTGTCTTTCCAGCATGGATGGAAACAGCAGCGATAACAATGGAGTTATGAATATGCAGTAATAGTCCCGCATCATACACTGGAAAGTTGAGGACATCAGTCCCGTTTCGCTGGTAACGCCCAACGTTTTCACTCTAAGACAAATAAGTCACCAGGCTGCACTATCACGCACATTAGGTGCCAAGGTGTGTTATGCGTCCGAAACTATGATCAATGGTCCCAACGGGGTTGTTGAATAAACTGCCTCCGGCTAGTTCTCTCACTATTGGATGTACACAACCGGAGACGCCGATGCGGCTATCACTGGTCAAGCTGGCGCGGGCATCCTTCTCAGCACCAAAGATGTCATTGTTGGTTGATTGGATTCCCGTGAGCAGCCGCTTGTGTGCAGCCCGTTTAATGGCATTAACTAAGAGTGACTCATGAAATAGTACCAGAAGCTGTTTGTTTGTGTTTGTCGCTTATGCACCCACAAACTGCAGTGCTGATGCCTCCAAAGGCACCTTGTAACACGAAATGAACACGCTGACTAGCAGTGTTGCCAGTTGTTGTTGAATATGTCTTCTGGACTCTTCATAAGCTCAGCAAGGTGGTAAGTAAGGACTTAATTCGTATGGTAGGACAAAGGCAAGCGTCCGTTGCAAATGTACGCGGAACACTGTTTCCTAGTCGCATCGCATTCAAACACAGTGCGCGCTGTAGTACCACCAGGCGTTCTCCTATAGCTCGCCAGCGACGGACCGAAATTGATCACGTATCTATAGGTTACAGATGGCGTGATTTCACCCTGGATTGGTACTCGTTCTGGAATGCTTGCACCAACGCTGATCACAAGACATCAGCAGTACACCAGTAGGCAATATCAACGCACCGATCGCACGTAGGCTAAGGATACTGCGAGGCTTGCCCGTCCCTAAGCAGGCTCGAACCCGCGTCCTCGGATTACAAGACAGGCTCGTGATCCTTAAGGATACGGGCGAGCTCATCTTTGATCATGTTTCGTTACGCTGTCGTTACTTCATGAAAAATAAATAAAATAATAAATGATGTGTCAGCTGTACGCCGTGACGGCGCTTCGCTGCCGCGCAACCACCACCAGTCGCGCGCGGGCTGAGTATACCGCGAGAACGCCCACCCCTACGCGGATTCGAACCGGTGACCTAATTGTTGCAAAACCAAACGCGCAGATCACTCGGCCACCGGCCGAGTTACTTCACGAACTTTACCGGGAGGCGTACCAAACCTGCGATTGGAAACCGACAAGCTATGCTAGTCCACGGTCAGGAAAGTCTACTCGGATGCCCTGCGTACTAAACACTAACCCTCTCGTTCTAAGGAGATTGAGCTTCAGTGGAATGGAATCCAGACCGCTATGCAAGATGCTGGAGCCTCTGATTGCGGCTTGTCAGTCGTCTCCGCATCCGTCACTGGGTATTCGAGAGGTCGACGAGCATGTTGGAACCTAAAATAAAATTCCCTGCTGGCTCTGAGCAAAATATAACCAGATGGACTATTAAGTGCGGACCAAAGCAGAGCTTGCTTGCTGCCAAGGAAACGCAATGGACCAGTAGAGGTCAAGAACTGGAGGAGGCAAGAGCTGTAGGTAACTATCGCGAATTCTTCCCACTGATCCCCAAAAATGGTCACATAGAACCCAGATGTCAGTGAGATAAGTAGAGACAACACGGGCGCCCTGATTCACAATAAGGAGCGCCGTCTGGCTCGTTGGGCATAGCACTTCCGAGAATAGTCCAATTGGTCCATACTCATGTGGTGTAGGCCAAGCCATGATGGGTTGGTGTAAAACTTCCAACGGAGGCTGAGGTCCGAAATGCAACCATATCCACTGACTGTCTCCGAGCTGCTAGTAAGGATTCTTTTAATTCCGCACTACCTAAGGATGATGTCGAGGCCCTCTGTAAAGCACTGACCTGCTCGTTCGAACAAGTGTGGAATGAATGCACCGTCCCAGATAACTGGAGTGAGTCGATCGTGGTGGGAATATATAAGAAGGGCAGTCGCGTCGAAGGTGGTAGCCTTATGGGGCATTATGTTAACCCCGGTGATGACAAAATGACTGGCCTCAATTCTCGTTCGTCGCCTCACTGCGGAACGGGGATCCCAGATTAGAGAAGAGCAGGCAGTTCTGCGCCCAGGACTAGGCTAAATATTCACCCTGTGGTAGGTGCTATAGCTACGTGGCACTTAGCGCAGACCGAAAACAGCTGCGCTACTCGATTTCAAGAGTGCATTCGACTCAGTCGATCGGCCTATTCTGTATGAAGTACTTGCGCGGAAAGGTGTTCCCAAGAAATATGCGAACATCCTAAGTGCCCTGTACGCGAACACCACAGGCCATGTCAGAGTATAAGTTGACTTGTCGAATGTCTTTTCAACAACAAGTGACGTTTGGCAGGGTTGTCCGATTTCCCCACTTTTGTTCAAGTGCACAGTGGACTACAACATGGAGTGTTCACTTGCGGAATCCCAATATGCAGGCGTATAGATGCTCGGCAAAAACTTGTTTATCATGATTAGGCGGACGATATTGTCTTGCTGTTTAACGATATTGAGTTGGTCCAGTGAACCCTAAATAAGCTCTTAGGAGTGATCCCGTCATGTGGCATGCACATCACACCTCCGAAGCACAGTGATGTTGCAGGACTACCAATCAGTTGATGACCATTTGACCACTGATAGCGAGGAACTCGAGTTTGCTGATCAATTCACCTATCTTGACTGATTCAGCAGCAGCGATGGGCGCGAGTCAGGTAGTTCACGTATTGCGAAAGCTAGAACAGCCTTCTGGAATATGAGACACTTGTGGCATCAAAAGGGAATTTCGCTAAGTAGGAAAGGTCGTGTGTATAAGTCCATAGTGAGGGACGTCCGGCTCCATGGTAATGAAACTTTGCTCCTTTGGTTGTAGGATCTGGGGTGTCTCCAAGTCTCTAAGCACCGTGGTCTATGGAGCATTGCCAGTGTTGGGTGACACCTTCGAGTCCGCAACAATTATGTAAGTGAGTACTATGAGGTAGTAGTCAGGCTAGTTCTGTAAAACAAATAACGTTGAGTGGATCGGGCTATATCGCGGTTAGGTTTCAATCTGTGATAATCGGCTATCGTCGCATCGCTCAGTGGCATAAGCTGTTGGCTAATGATGCAAGCCACTAGGGTCATGGGTTCGATCTTCAACAGGGGACCGAGGGAATGCGCACCACTGATGAGTCCCAATAGGGCGAAACGGTCGGCTGGTGCTTTCCCGGACTAGTAGCTTACCTTTGCGGTTTACAATCTAATTGCGATGAATCAAATAAAACCATGCCTAAATCCGCTTACTCACTAGCAAGGTTGAATAAGTTGCGTTGATTTGGTCGTGTCCATCCGATAAGGAAAGAACCAATGTACACTGAGGTCAACAAGGGGTAAGCACGGCCTATTGGTAGGTGACTAATAACCGCACCGAGATTCCGTGTTATCGGTTAATTAGTGGGCGCCGGTAGTTCGTTGGTGAGTCAAAATATGGACGGACACGAGGTCGAGTTGGTGTAGGCACAGTGACACCGTAGCATACGGTGTGATGAGTTATATCACGAGTCAAAGAACTGTTGGAATTTAGTACAGCAGCAATTTCTTTTGTAGAGGACAAAAAGGCAAACGGCTGAAAACAAAATGAGAGCATACGATGTAATAGCGAAGTTCACAGCCCCATGCCTAACCTAATCGAGAATGCAATCAATTTACCGAGAGCAGATTCTGTGTCGAATTCCTTCGCATATTTTTCACAGCATTTTCCAAGAAGTGCTTCCGGATGTGGGTAAGGCTCTTTGGCTGGCTGGTTGTGTGACCCGTTGAGATTACTCGGAGGCCGAAGATTGAAGTGAACGCCGGGCTGCAGGCATTCGGCAGAGCGTTTGCGAACCTCCTCCAAGTATCGCTTGTAAGAGTCCATCACCTGAGAAAAGGAACAAAATAGTAGATAGCGCTATGGTGAATATGGACTGGACAACATGACATGGAATGTAGGAAAAATGCGATCTGGTAGCGCATCGGGTTTATACAAAGTGGCTGCAGTTCAAATGAACACAAAATTATTCTCTGGAATGGTGGAAAACAGTAAGCTGATGTACAATTTACAAAATAGTCAAATAAACTGGGAGCAGTATTTGTGCGGTAGGTTGGAGAACTTTTCAAGGATAAACAGGAAGTCCCCAAGAAAGAAAAACAAAGCGCTAGTCACAGCGCACTGTCTATCTAGCGTGTTTTACCCATTAATTGGGAATGAAGTGGTGTGTTAAGCGTTTGTTTTTCATTTTCCGAGCGCGAATTCCGGAAGAAACTGTAATTAAAAGTGTAAGGAAGCCTGAATCGCACATTGCCTGTAGGATCATTTGTAGCGTTCACCGTTGGATGCGCACGAGGTGTACGATTATACTGAATAATGAAAACAGGGATATAGAAGGTATGCGCCTGCGGCGTTCCATCGATAGATCGAACATGCAAGCGGAAGAACACCGTTTATTACCACGGACTTCAAGGCCGTTCGGCTGTGCGACGCGCTCTCGAACTCTGTAATCCGCAAAGTGGGCGTCTAGAATTTCTTGAATTCCGATACCGATTTCGCCTGGACTATTGTTTTGGGCAAACTGTTCCAATACTCCATCACTCCCCGCTCGAAGCATAGAGGGTGAGTTATCCGCTTCAGGTCCGGTCCCACAAGCCTGTGGCGGTGCCTGAAAGTGCTGCTTAGCAAGCGCACGTGTAGAAGTGGCCTCAGCGTAGGGAAGTTACCCAGATGTAATATCTAGTGCGTCATTATGAGGTCCATTAGAAGCAGACAATACAGCAGGGTGTACAGCCCCAGTTTCTTTCACCGGTCGTCCCACGACATACCACGCAAACTGGGGATGAATCTGGTTTCCACATGCTGAACACGTTTCAGTCTCTGCATCTCGCCAATGGTAATCAGACAATAAGTGGGTGAACCTTACTCTGGCATTGGCCTTACAACGGAAAAGTAGACGTGCGGCAATATTTTCAGAACAAATGCAGAGACTGCGCTTGGAAGCCCAAAGCATGTGCAGTCCATTTCTGTGTAGCCTATTCGTGTTGTCTATGGACTTCAAATCACAGCATGAGAGTACACGTAGGTCCTTCACGAAGAGTGTGGGGTGCAGCGGTCGGCCAGCCAGAGTATAGGTGCGCCATATACCACCCTTTCTCAGATTCATAAGTAACGCCCTGACTGGATTAACCGGCAAATCGACATCTCCAGATCACATGGAGAGGAGCAGTCATCGGGAGCACCAACTGATCTCTATATCTTCGGGCCGTATGCAAAAAAAGCACAAGGCGATCGAAGAAGCTGAGGTACTTCGTTGGTATGAATCAGGAACAAAATGGCATGCAGTACTGAGTCCTGGAGTATGCCACTGGTAAAGGGATAGCAGTCCGTTAGATTATCATCCCCTTGTACCTTCATCCTCCGCCCAAGAAGAAAGTCGTTGATCACTTGTACAGTGAGCCATCAACACCGCACATGCTCAGCTTGTGTAGGAGGACCTCATGGTTCACTTTGCCGAAAGATTTACCAAAACAAAGACAGATCGCGTCAACTGACTTCCTCCGGTTAAGCCTTGCAATCATTCACGCCTCGTCAAAAGCAGGTTAGAGAATCATGAGCGGCGTTTCAGGAAACCATGCTGTGTCGGCACGTCAGGTCTTTTAAGTCCAGCAGCTGAAGCACCCGTCTTCACGTGCCTTGGCCCAAAGGTCAGACAAATTGGCCGGTAATTGTCTTCTTAGTTTGAGTCACAGCTCTTCGGAATCGGCTGCACTAGCTAACATTACTAGTCACTCAGCAATGTATCCTCGGACATATAATATCATAGAAAGCGAGATGATGCCCGATGGAGAGTCTGTCAGCGCCGGCAGGCTTCTTATTGTCATAACTGGTAAGTAGATCGGGTACACCTTCCACAACGCAATCCAGGCTGTCGAGTTTGGATGGGGATGCGCAAGTCGAACTCGGTACGGACACAAGATCATTTGCAAATACGGAAGCGAAGAGCGCTGCCAATGCAGACGCACATTTAGTGTTCGAAATTAGGGGGCTATCCGTCAGAGCCCTCTAACATCGCTAAGTCATTTGCAGGCTTCAGATGTCACTTCGCATAAGCAAAGATCCTCTTTTGAACCATTTTCGCTGCGGCTGCGAGCTGATCTTTGGACTGCCGCCGCTTCTGTGCTTTCGCGCTGCTGCATAAATTCCGACCTACTGTACACATCGTGATCATCGGCAGAGCCATAATGGAGGAATTTATTCAATGGTATACTTCGCCGTTGAACCAACTAACAATACTTCTCGCCGAACCAATATGGCTTCACTGACCCAGCTTTCCGATATCTAAGGGGTACAAGTCTAGCACACAATGATTTTACACGCTGGGAATTTGGTGTTGCCCACCCGAAAACATTACAGGACACGACGCGTTCCGACTTCATTTGACCTCACCAGGTGGAGGTAGCAGGCCTTGAACCCGAAACCATTGGAATAGTAGTCGAAATATCTACCTGTTTGGTGACCTGGTCACGACAGGCAACGTTTGTCACGATGAGCGATAACTGATTGGAGAGTCATTTTGAAGTACTGGTTGTGTGAGCGGATTTCGACACCCGAGCTAGATGTAGACCGTGATTCGATGTGAATCGCGCGCCGCAATTCATTCACACGACCAGTACTTCAAAATGATCTTCTACTCAGATTTTAAACCCTATTTTGTGGTAGACCCACAGGTTTTGAGAGGTGAATCATGCGGTGACGGCCAGTCCACCTGACTGGTTAGGTTAGTTGATCTTGATTATGCGGACGATATCGTCTTGCTTTTCGACGATGTTGGGGCGGCACAATCAACCCTGAATAGCCTGCCCAGAGTGGTCCCATTATTTGGTATGCACTTCGCACCTTCAAAGTGCAAAGTGTTGCTGCAGGACCACCAGTCACTTGGTGACCTCTTGACGCTTGCTAACGAGGAACTCGAGAGGGTTGATCAACTCACTTACTTAGGCAGCTGCATCAGCATCGATGGGCGCATAGAAACTGAAGTCAGTTCATGCATTGCAAAGGCCAGAACTGCCTTCTTGAACCTGCGACATCTTTGGCGACAGAAGGGAGTTTCCCTCCGTCTGAAAGGCTGTGTATACAAGGCCACAGTGAGGGCCGTTCTGCTTTATGGTAGTGAAACTTGGCCACTTCGGTCTGAAGAACTGAGGCGCCTTCAAGTCTTTGATCATCGTTGTCTGCGAAGCATTGCTGGGATCGGATGGCACCAGCGTGTCCGTAACAATGATGTGCGTAGGCGAGCACTAAGTAGTGCTAAGCATGCTGGCTCCTTAGAACAACAGATAGCACTGAATAAGTCGCTTTGGCTTGAGCACCTGCTAGGTATGCTCGGTCACCATTTACCTAGGAGAGCGTTGTTTAGTCTGCCAGGCGTAGGGTGGCGCAAGGCTCGACGTGGAATTGGCAGCGGGGAATGAAGACAGTGACGACCAAACTCATCATCATCAGCAACAGCAGTACATCAGTCATTTGGACTGATGCTTCACTGACATACAACAATGAGGACCTATGAAAGAAAGAATAAGAAGAGGGAGGGAAGGGGGACTTACCTGAAAACTTTAATGTCTTAAGCAAACATTCAGGGTCAAGGCGCCTACACCTCGTGTAGACAACATACCGTCACAAACAGCTGGCTATCGTGCAAAGATAAGGCGGCATCGGCGAGACAGCTTCCTTGCGGCTTTCACTGCCACGCGTCATAATCAGCCAGTACCCCGCAGATAACTCAGCACCAAACACACTTTAAACAGACAATCCCATTAGCAGACGGCAGCAGACGCGCCACTGGTGTCTACTGCGAGCCATGCCCCGTAAAGTCTCGAGCCAAGCACAAGCCGAGTCACGTGGACTCCAGCATGGAAGGCGAGATGGACGAACCGCACCCAGTTTGGTCTTCGGTGACTTCATTTCCCGCTGCCAAGTCAACTTCTGTCCACTTCGAGCCTTGCGCCATCCTACAGCTGGCAGACTAAACAAGGCCCTCCCAGGTAAGCGGTGACCAGGCATACGTAGCACGTGCCCGAGCCAACGCAACTTATTCAGTGCTCTGTTGTTCTAGGGAGCTAGCATGATTATCACCACCTAGTACTCGCCTACGCACATCATCGTTGCAGACACGCTGGTGCCATCCGACTCCAGCAATGCTTCGCAAACAACAATGATCAAAGACTTGAAAGCGTCTCAGTTCTTCAGACCGAAGGGGCCAAGTCTCACTACCATAAAGCAGAACGGCCCTCACTGTGGTCTTGTATACACGGCCTTTCAGACGGAGGGAAACTCCCTTCTGTCGCCAAAGATGCCGCAGGTTCAAGAAAGTAGCTCTGGCTTTCGCAATGCGCGAGCTGACGTCAGTTTCTGTGCGCCCATCGTTGCTGATGCAGCTGCCAAGATAAGTGAAATGATCAACCACCTCGAGTTCCTCATTAGCAAGCGTCAATGGGTCATCAAGTGACTGATGGTCCTGCAGCAACACTTTGCATTTTGAAGGTGCGAAGTGCATACCAAATAATGGGACCACTCTGGGCAGGCTATTCAGGGTTGATTGTGCCGTCCCAACATCGTCGAAAAGCAAAACGACATCGTCCGCATAATCAAGATCAATTAACCTTTCACCAGGCAGCACTCCAACGCTTACATCGTGAGATTCCGCAAGGGAACACTCCATGATAGAATCCACGACGAAATGGAACAAAAATGGGGAAATCGGACAACCCTGACGAACGCCACTTGTGGTCGGAAAGCTATCCGATAGAACACCGTAGACCCTGGCGCGACCTGTAGTGTCCGAGTATAGAGCACGAAGGATGTTCACATATTTCGTAAGAACACCTTTC